AAAAAAAGCTTAGTATTACTGTTAAGAATTTTTCTGTTAGGCTATGATATGACAAAATAATGCTGAAAATTTGCTGAAGTATTAATCATTATTTTCTAATTCCCTCAGATAAGACTTCAAAGATGGTAGGTCTTCACACAAATTGCTTTCTTAGCAGTTAGGTGAACACAAACATCCTCAATATCAACATCATCCTCCCTTTGTAGCATCACTGAGCTATTTATCTACATATTACACCCCTCAAAGAATAAACAAAGCATGAACACAAACATTATCTTCTTCATACTTGGCCTAAATACATACACTGTAACATGGTTTCTTTATCTTCTCTCTGCTCGCAAGATGCAATAAATATCACACATGTGCCTTTAAACCTCTATCGCTTATCAACAGACAACATGAAGAATGATGCAATTGTTCATTGGAAGTGGGTGTGGTGCGATTACTTTGGCTGCTCTCTCTATGCACTGTAATTCTATGCCAAACAGGACATCACATGATACATGGCACTGCCAAAAGGCTGCTGAATACCTTATACCCACCCATTCCACCCCCTCACAACCCCTACAAAACAGTTCAAGAGAGAACAAATACACAGGCATACAGGTAGTGGTAGGAGTGTGAAGAAAGTGATCCAGTATTTGTCCCCAATGAAATGTGCTACCAAAGGGCTTATTTCATTTAAGATATAGGGTTATGTTAGAGTTAGGACTGTAATTAGGTTTTCGATCATGTTTAGGCTTAGGCTTAGGGTTCTGGTATAATCTTAAATCCAGGATTGAAGTTAGGTATCGACAAGTATAGGAAGTTGTCCAAAAAATTTAATTTGCTGAAGCACGAATGGTACAACCTTTGTACTCAGTGCAAATATCACCCATCCAACACTTTCAACTGATCATAATGAAAAATGCAGTATTATTTTGTTGAGGGAGAAAGATAATTGTGTTGGCCACGAAGAGCTCTTCTATTTCGAAATAAAATAGTGAAACACATTCCATACTTCCTCTCCTCCACCTTTTTGTAAATTGCCAAAATTACATGATCTGTAAGGTTCTCGAAAAATGGTGATTACTTTAATAAGACATCTTGAAGGCAAACTGCAGTTGTAAATCCTTCTCAAACGCACAAGACCTTGGCTATATTCCAACTTCTAGACATTTGTCACAAAAAATGACAGATAGCACTTTTTTCTCACTTCAATCCAAATTTGTTACAGATTCCTGAAACTATCACTGAAAGACAAACTCCTCTGCAGCAAAATTAGTTCAAGTTTAAAGTGATACAAGGCCTCCACTTTCTAAAGGTTTGCTCACACTATTGAGTAGTTTTCAGATTATTCTAAGGCACAACACAGTATTACAGCTAAAAAAAGGATTGGCTAGTTTAATAACTGATGGTTAATAATAGAATGCTTCAGAACCTCAGCAAAGAGTGTGTACCAGGAATGGTTAAAGAACTGCATCATCATTACAGCCATGACAGGCACTAGGACTGGCACAAAAATGATCAGCATTTTCTTTAAAACATATCTGCTGATGGATTTGAATGTACTCCTGAAACTTACGACTCATGCTTGATGGATCTTCAACTGGCAATCTTCCATACGTTAACATGTGTTTGACAAATATATTTCTTTCACTGTAATATTCAATGTACTTCAAGTAAACATGAATCAAAGGACAATATTCTTCAAGTCCTTGGAGACTCTATGGGCCCATCCTCCGTCCATAAATGTCAATGACCCCCCCCCCCCCCCTCCTTCTTCTTGAAAGTCCTGCACTTTAGGATTGCGTATTCAGCGGTTGAGAAGATGTTTTGTGATTAGGCATCTTCCTCCTCTTCAATGACCAACCAAGGAGAGACGTCACATATCAATCACATGTCCATCATATGCACACCTTGTGCAGTCCTGCTGTATCAGATAACAGTCTGATCACCTTCATCAAAGACAGTAGAAAGTGCAATCTCTTTCCTTCTTTCTGTTGGTCTTACTTGTTCAACCTATATGCTTGATACTTAGTTTTATTCATTCTTTATTTATCATTTTCTGCTTCAATATCCTATTTTCTCTTCTGTTTATATACCTCTAATTTCATTTTGTGAATACTTTTCTACATCTCATATATGTCTTTAATCTTATTTTTGATCTCTCTCTCTTCCCCTATCTCTCTCTCTCTCTCTCTCTCTCTCTCCCCCTCTCTTTCTCTCTCTCTCTCTCTTTCTTTTTCTCTCTCTCTCTCTCTCTCTCTTCCCTTTTTTGTCAGCTGGCCATGTCAACAGCACTTCCAACAAGCCTGAAGCAAGGTGATATCCCTGCCCTTGTCAGTGGAGTAGAAACCAACCACCAAAAAATGCTCAATCATGCTATGGGACACGGTCGCCTGCAAGTGACAAAAAGTGCTGGTCGGTGAGAGGGGAAACGCCGAGACAGGTATCAGAGAAAGGCTCGTTCATAGCTGGGATTGTAAACAACCCTGTAAATGCCACTACAGTGAAACAAAAATGACTTTCTAACGAAGCAAAGCAAACTGTTCACATACAGCGTGGGAGTGAAGACACTGTTATTGGATATGTGTATACCGTGCATCTCTTATCATCTACGAAGTCTGCTACAGGGAGCGTTTCCCATGGTAGGAAAATGTTCTTGTGGGAACCAGCTTCACAGTGCAGTTCACAGCTAGTAGTGGTTAGAAAGTGCTGGATGGCAGGTGTTTCATTTAATTCTTTGTGGGACATCACAAGCATGATACATGTATGTGCTTCATCTGCGTACTTTGCATTTTGATAAAAACATGTTCGAAAGACATGTTCAAATGAAATGTTCCTAAAAATGTAGAGTCACATACACGTGTACATTGAAGAATAGGTCTGTTAATATATGAGAATATCCTTGACTTCTATATCAGACAGTTCAAATAATTAAACAAATGAGAGCTGGAATATTATTTGTCAATTTCAATTAAGCTCACAGGATTTAGCTTTTTTTCCCCTTCATAATATGGCACCCCCCATGAGCTCAAAAGCTAGTTAAGTTTGATTGAATGGAATCTCTACCAGGCTATGAATATTCATACTACTTGGTCACTATTCCAGAAACAGATTAAAGACACTACTGGTTAATTCAGTGACATGTATTCATTGGCAGTTTGATATTTATTAAATCATCAAAATTACTACAGAATTTAAAACTTCACTTAAAAGTAGGAAAACAGAAATAATTCCCCATGATGATTGGCTTGACCAGGAAACGTTTGTTCTCCTTGATATTATTGAGATCCAATAATGGCAATGACTTTCGGAACAAATAACATCCCTAAAAGAAAACAGAACTATCATAGGCTACACAACTCCACCTAGACGTGGGACCATTATCATCAAGATAATTGCTTCTGAATCAAATCACAAGGTCAATAAAAGCAAGAGATTAATACGGACTAACAGGACTCCCCACTGGTCTTGGTTCCTATAGGGTTCATGCCTAGGACTACCCTCCGGCCTTAGTTCCTTAATGATAGATCATTTAATGATGAAGGCCCTGCGGGAGAAAGTAATTTAGTGAGGAAGCATCAATTCTCAGGGAGGAGGAAGTCAAGTATTGCCGTGGGGGACTACGAGGGATGGGATCGCCAGCTAACCATGACAGCATACGAAGGTCTGGCTGGCTGGCTGGCTGGCTGTCAGTTTGCAGGGAGTCGAGGGTGAGCTGACAGCAGAGAAACAAATACAGAGGAGAAGAGTACAACTTAGCTCTTGAAAGCTTTAAAGAGCTCTGGTAAAACCTCAAATAAAAAAATAAAAAATATATATATATATATATATATATATATAAATAAATTGTAAATGAATATATGACATGCCAACGTGTAAGATAATTTCTACCATTTTACAATCCCATCTCCTCACAGTGTTACCTTTAACACTACAGAAATGAGAGAAGTGATCTACATTCCAATTCTTGGTCTATGGGGAAAAGGATGTTTTTTGTTTTAATAACAATGAACTACTTGGTGTGCATGACAAGGTTGGGTTACTGTGACAGAAACAATCACCAAATTTAGGTCATTTCCAAGCTCAAAAGAAAATCTTCAATGTAGTTTGTGAAGTAGTTTGTGGTAAATATTTCACACTGATAAAAAAAATATATGAATATTTGCGGATAAGTAGGTTTTTTTCTACATAGAACATTGACATTTATATTTGCCAAACTAAGTTGATCACTCTGTAGAATACCTCAAAGTACAAGATAAATTATTCTGGTTCATTCTCATTTGCAAGTGGCCCCTTGAAAGTGACAGAAGTCACAGAATATCGGAGAAAATCAGCGAAGGGGACAAAAGGAAGTATGAATATCTTCTATCCCTCAGAAAAAGGGACTATATGACATTTTCCATCAAATCAGCCATCTTTCATATTTTGTGCCCCCCCCCCCCCTCTCCCTCTTTCTTTCTCTCTCTGTTGTTTCTTTTTTGTCTCCTCTAGTATGTTGTGTTGTCTCTCATTCTCTCTCTATCTATACCCTTTTCCTCATGAATGTTTACATAGTGCATCAGTGTAAAAATATACTTTCTATATAAAGGTGCTCTTTATGAACTTGTTGAAATGAAGTGAGTTTTTACGCTGCAATCTTTATGTACTTTGTTATTTACACTTAGCTCTTTTTATTTTTCTAATGCTGTTTTAGACCTTTCAAGAGTTAAATGGCATATCACATCAACATACAGTTTTTCAGGGTAAACTTAGACCTACAATGTAAGTCACACAAGGGACGGTAAATCACCACCCAAAAACCCCACAACAACAACAACAGCAACATGAACAACTTTATATGTGCACCTGAATGGCAAATATATGTAAAAAAAAACAGTAGCTGCCTGCAACAAAGGCTCTGTGTTGTAATGTATAGAATTGTTATCCACATTATGCTTAAGTACTTTTATTTTCCTGCGACAGTATTGACTTCATGAGTGAACAGGGTTTTCCTGCCTTAGGGAGAGACTCACCTTGACTCGATGGTTGAGCAGAGACTCTTTACCCCCTGGTCCCCCGTAGTCCTCCATCATGAGGGTGGCTAGATTGGCAATGGGGACCCGCCCCATGTTAAGCCTCCTTCCTGACCCGAGGTTTGAACCCTGCCCGCTTCCCCCGCGGCTGTGGGCAGGTGTCTGGCGCACTGAACCACTCTCAGAACCTCCCTGCTGCTGTGGCTGTTGCTGTTGTTGTTGCTGTTGCTGCTGCAGGTGTTGTTGCATTTGTTGTTGCCGTGTTGTATCCCCTGACACGCTGCCTGTGTTTAGAGTAATTCAAAAGCATAATGGAAATAATTTCTCACTGTTCAGCGGCCAAATCACAACCAACTTAAATTGTTAACATAAAGGACTTACACATCACATCATAAACAAAGCACTTATTGCAGCATTGATGCATTAATGTTTTGCATTCTGACCAATACAAGGCCTTTTATACACATAATGGATTGAACACCATGTATTCATATTTTCTTTTATTCTACTATCAGTCATGCTTCTTACTGCCAAGATATAGATAGATATACAAACAGATAAGATATTTAGAGAGAGAGAGAAAGAGAGAGAAAAAAAGAAGAGAGAGAGACAGACAGAGACAGAGATAGAATGACAGCCATTTTTTAAATGTATGAAATAGGATAGAGGTTAACTAATTTGACAATTTGATTTTCTATTATTGTTGCAACCAACCTTTTGATCATATCTTCACAAATAAAGGTCATACATGAATTAAACCACAATGAGTGTGTACATACCTCCCCCAGTACCCGGCTGGGTCGTATCTCCTTCTTCCTTATCCCCACTCCGTCTTACAGTCCCTCCGCTGCTGCAGCCTGCTACACAACGCTGTACTAGCCTGTGGATGACATGAAGAAAAAATAAATAAGGAGGACATGAGTTACTAACTGGAGAGGAATTTATTCATATTAATGTGAATTTGAATGCATAGGTAATGTTAGAGACCAAAATGTTTGCGAGCCTGAGGTATTGCTGACTAGAAAAGATCCAACAAAAAGATGCATCCATATAAAGAAGAAAACAATAATATACACACTGTAAGAGAAAAAAATCTTACAGGAACACCTGTCTCTAAACCCAAAGATGCATTCATATAAAGAAGAAAACAGTAATATACAAACTGCAGGAGAAAAATATCTAACAGAAACACCTATTTCTAAACCCAAATTTACTGAAATATATACACAAAAGGCATTTTTGTATAACTCCAGAAGGAAAAAAAAGTACTTTAAACTACTAAATATCCTCTTTGCTTCTTTGTATCCCTGTTCTTAACCTATTTTTTGTAATTGATCTCTTTTCATTTGTGCTGTTCTATATTCTCATGCATTTCCTCTATTCTGACTACTGCTAATTCACAATTCCTCTTCTAACCACATTTATACCAGTATGTATCGAGGGTGCCAAGAATAAAAACAGATAAAGTGAAAGGAGATAATTTACACTAATTAGAAGCATATGACTCATAACTAAGGTTAGATGTAATGTTTGTCAACTTTTAGAAAATATAAACAAGTCTGGCTCTGGCATAAGTTAATTCACTGTTTGTTAACAAATATCCATGACAACAATTTTGATACATTTAAAATATGTCTCCATCATCTGAAAGTATGCTATCTACCAACATCACACAAACTCCTGAAACAAGTTCATGGTGACATACTTAATTATAGCACATAACAAAACTAAAACACATCAAACCAATTATTTGTTTTGGCAATTCTTCCCCTGTCAATAATATTATCACTTCTTGCAAATTTCCTAACCAGATTTCCATCCTGATTCCAGTTTATCTGATCATTTGTTCAGACATACAGACTGTTGAAAATTACACTTTCACATGAACTTATGAACCACTTATTAGCAACATGTGTATTGTGCATTACATCTGTGATGTTTTAAAAGTAATTCTCTGATATCCTTTTTAAAGCTTCATTCTTGTGTGTAGACAGTTATAGTACATGTTGTGCATTTGTAGTATTGTCTGTTGTATCTCACACATTTACATGTAGGTTTTCATGAAGTATCAAAATCTTAAGAGAAGCAGAAAAAATCCAAATCATCATGATACTGCTAAAATATTACATTCATAATCACATGATTTGCTGCCCTGCAAAGTCCAAGCAAAAAAAAATCATAAGAAACAATGCATTTTGGGCCTGAAGTTAAAAAGGAACCAGTGCTTTTCTGGGGAAAGAGCCCCAAATTCCACATTTCCTTGGCAATTTTTCCATTTCCACTCAAAACTCACTCAGTCATTCCCCCAAATCCAATCACTTCTTGAGCTCCTATCAAGGTATAAAAAGACACAAAGTAACAGAAATATCCTCAAAGTTGGCACGACAAGAAATTAACAGAGAAAACTGGATAACTAGCTTTGTGAAACTAGTAAGCCACCATTTCCTTTTATAGAATAAAATTCACAAATATCTAGAAATAGATGGAAGTCACCTTTCCTACATTTCATGCTTTTCCTTTCATGGTTTTCTTTTATTTCCAATGCAAGATTAAAATTTAAAGTTGAAATAGCAAATGTAAGTGACTGCTAAGGATTTCCTTGGGTCAGGTCTGCAAAGGTCAATCCGGTTCTTGACAGGGAATAAATATCATGCGGACCTCGCTAATCTTGTTTTGTGGTTTTGTAAATGCTATGTATTAATTGAATTTACCTATTCACAAAGAGAGATATAAAATTGTTTTTTCCTTTGAGCTGTCCATTAAATGACCCATTTAAGAAATTGTAATTTTAATAGCCTTGAAAATATTCATGTTGGTTAAATTTTATTGAGTTGCTAGACTGGTGACACACATACAGCAATGAAAATTAAAAAGATAAAATATATGATGACGTACATGTATGAGTAACTTACATTAAGCAAAATCACATACATTATTATTATCAAGTATTTAGCATCACCTGAGCCTGGGAGGTAAACTGGTTATAGATAATAAGTTTATGTCAAAGATCATTATCTTTTGTTTCTCTAAATTAATGTTTTCAAGGATATGAATGGCTTGCAACATGGTTCAAATGTCACTTCTTCATCATCAGCAGATTGTAACAATGATGACTAGACCTGTCCCGATAGGTTGGAAACTCTAGACTCATTCACACTCGCAAAAGAAGAGCACTCCTCATCACATAAATCTCTATATTAAAGCGTGTTCCTACACTTTAGTGTGAACTGTGCTAGAAAGCAACCCACTGGAACAATGAACAACATGAGGTTAGTGGTTCAGAAGCACTATTTAGTTAGAGAGCTTCAATCAGTACCATAAAAGATACATGTAAAACATTTTAAAACATGTCTCTATCATGTTGGGGAAAACAAAGTGTCATACTGGATCAATCTTCAAGTTCTAGAACACCCTCATAGAATTTTCGAGTGAGAATGGATCCCTTGATTCATGGTGTCCCACCTGGTTTGAGTATGAACAACATCCACTATGGATGTCAAGATCTAGTCATCATAATCATATCAAAATGATGACAATGTACATGAAAGTCATGTCTTGGAGAAACTCGTCCAGTGTCCCAGGTGATCAATGGTTTGGACATGTGTGAACTTCGTGTGTGGCAAATGCAATATCAAGGATTTATAAGACTACAATGATGAAGTTAATACATCTAGGTCAACATTTGGAACTTGCAATCAGTCTTGATTTCTTCTTTGTAAATTTCAAACCAGTCTCCATCTTGTAACTTTGGCATTACATGGAATGTATACATATCTTTTGCTTTTGAACAAATGTGATGCTTTGAAAGACAGGAAATGGATTTACTCTCAGGGTCTCACTGTAACCCCAAAGGCATCAATATCAACATTATAAATTCAACCAATACCTTTGCATGATTATTACAATTTAGAAGAAACAAGGTTAAAAGTTCAAACCTCTACCCCTCCCCTTCCCTTCCCCCTCCTTACAACCAGGTACTATAGCTCAACTGAGAGTTCATTTTCCTATTAATTTATGAATCATTTCCAGTCCTGTGTGATTCCTGGTCCCAGGGTTCTTCTTACATGACCCTTTGTCATACAGAGACAACGACCTGTTATGTCATCTCCAAAGACCAACAAGGGCATTAAATATGTGTAAAATCATATAGATTAATGCCTTTCTACCTCTCAACAATATTTATGTTTTACACATGGCTCCACGAAAGAAAGTCTAGTCTGGTTTCAGTGTACAGCAGGCAAATATCATACAGTGATTACAGAAATTATCTGAGAAATTAAAGATAATTCCTCTTATGCAATTATGACATTGGTGCATTTCCCCCAATTTTCAGTTGATTAGTCAGCTATGTGACAACCTAGGCTTCAGCTATTATCAATCATCATTATGAGTTTACAAGCAACCTATTTGGGAAGAGGCTGTAATGCTGTATCAGTTCTCTTTATCCTCAATATGCCCTTTTCCACCATCTGACTACTATTTCAGAAGAATTCATTTCCACCATTAAGACAGAAGATCCCAATAACGATCATCTCACATGTGTTCTCAAGATATCCTTAATCTTCAAAACACAGAATAATGCCTTAAAAATATTTCACAGCAAGATGACATCATAGCCACAGAATTTCTCACAAATTAACACCTCAATCAAAGATCATCCATCAGCATTGTCACGGTAACCCTACTCTTTTAAGGATCGCTTCAACGGTTTACTCATCCTGCCAAAGAACACAGGTGATTATTGGAGGGGGAACAAATCCTCATAATTCCCAAGATTTGAAATGATCTGTGTAACACAAGGAGGGGTAATCCCTTGTCTGTCGCAAAGAGCGGTGCTGTGAGCCAACGTCCATCCCCAGCTTCCATCCAACTGACGCGATCCATGATAATGCAATTTTTCAAGAGTAATCTATCGATGTTAGGCAAATGTGAGTTCATAGAGCGTCATGGATGAGGTATAACCAAGACAACTGGTGAGAAAATAGCTACTGAAAGGCTTTATTTTCCATTTGCTTAATACTTTCTTTACACCAAGCATGATTCATGGTAGTTTTCTTTTCCATAACAAAAAAAAAATGTATTTAAAAAAACTTTTTTACACTTCTTCCAGGGTAGAAGTGGAAAATCTTTCATTCTACCATGCAAATTAGTTCTATCTATGAGTTCACCTTTTCCACTCTTAAAGTATTATTTTCAAGACTTTTATTAGGCTGCAGACTTGCACAACATTGATTCTTAGCAGATTTCCTATAAGATAATCAATGTAGTCATATACAGTGTTCATTAGATTTTGAAACCCTTAATTGTCATAGTAAAGGCTTAGCTCAGAATGTATCCTTGGGCAAAAACCGAAAAAGAAAAATGATTTCATCGTGATGCTAAACCCTCAACCTTTGATTTAGGTTTCATAATTTCAACTCAAAGATGATTTGTCAAATTCATTTCTTCCACTTAGAATTTTAGCAGCAGCATCTAAATGTCCCCTGGGTCTCAGGAATGCATCATTTTATGTGTAACAAGAGGAACTGTTCCAGGGAAAGTATCTGCTTCACCTCCCCTTCAGACATATTTTATCACCGTCATAGCCTCCCCAGGGTCTCCAGAATTCATAATTTTGTTTAATAGGGGAAAAGCTACAGGGCAAATATCTGTATTGCCTCCCTTCTAAGTTCTAGACACCGTAATGACACTGTTAATAGGTTTGTTAAACTCCCAAATGCACCTTCATTAAATATGTGGCAAGGATTTATGATAATTGTGAATACAGGAGCTAAGAGAGGGTCAAATTTATCTGCTGTTCTTTATGATAATATCTACTATGCGACTTGAATAAAAAAATTGACAAGACAATGTATTTTATACTGGCCTTGTCATGATCTACATCTACTTTGGAATAATATCTATAGAGCATCATTCAAATCTTAGTTTCTGCCCAAACAAATATTTTTCAAATCAGAAGTGTTAAATGGTGACAACTGTTATATATTTAAAGTGATGATGAAACATATTTTTAACCACAACAAAATTTTGCGTACAAAATCAGTGTTCCAATCCATTTCCACATCTAAACAAAAATCCCAGACAACCCTGACAAACCATAAAATACAATGAGTCAAAATAAGTAGATCACATTACATAACTAGGGGAAGAAGTATATTGACTATGGTATCAATGTAAGAAACTCCACAGGAACTAAACCAGGATTTAATTTCCATGTAGTAGGGATCATACAAGATTCATCATGAGCTCACTTCCAGGCCTGTATCATTGATACAGATATCACCAAGGATCACCCAGTAATGCCTCAGAATCTCCTCAAGCTTATACCTAATACAGGTGATGATCAAGTCTTCAACTTATCCTACAGCGCAGATAACTCTTTGCAATGCTGAGATGACAATTTTGATTTAATCCAGTGATTCATGTTAGAGCCACTTGTAACTTTTATAAGTAAAATCAGGTCTTCCTGGTAGCAGTATTTGGGATACATGTGACCTACTTCCACTTCATCATCAGGCTTTCCTCAAGTATGCTTTAGGATTAGGTAATCCACCGGAACACTTGAGAACTGCAAAACAGGTGCGTGCACGACTCATGCAATAATAGAAATAATACTTTAATAATGCTAAATATACTTGCTTAAATACTCTGTACAGGTATAAGGCAGAAACTTTACAGGAAATTTATCTTGCTATGTAATAAGCATAAACCCTTCTACACCTAAACTAAAACCTAATTGCAACACTAACCCTAGATCTTTGATGGAATAAAGCCTGAAGCAAATTTCACAGGAGCAAATGTTGGGGAACCCATAAAACATACCTTGTCCAGCATTTGACGACATTCTCCCTGATACAGGCAAAGCTGAGTGGCCGACCAATCACACTGCTGAGCTGCTTGTTGCTGTCGGCATAGGATGTCGTCAGAGGGGACACGTAGATGGGATACCCTATGGGTTGGTCACACGAAGAGTTGATCATGTTCCGCAAAGCCTGCTTTGCGTTCTGGATGCTGCCGCGCTCGGGGTTGCGGTTGCGCAAGAAGACCAGCTCCTGCTGCTGTCCCGCCCACAAGCCACGGACACACTCTCGATTGACCTGTAAAAACATAACCAAAGGGGATGGGTTATTACAACTGATAAGAATAATCTGGGTTCCATGAATTAGCAGACTTACTGTTAACCAACCTACTGGTATATCATACTTTATCGCTTCATCATCAATAAATACAGTTTTATTTATACCATACATGTATGTGCATTGTTCAGGCATTTTCCCCCCCATAACATTTTAAAAATTTGAAAGAGCTATACTAATCATACTGAAATATATCTCAATATGTAGGTTACAGAAAAGATTTTAAAAAATAAAAAGAAATTTGTCAGAGGACCACTCACAGCTGATGTTTTGAAATGATACAGATCGTGGACTTTTTAAAGTTTAAACACTGACAAAATCTACATCACTGAAATGATAGACCCCAAAATGAATCTTTCAAAACTTTCTTCTACATTATAAATACAACTGGTAATCTTCTTTAAATTACCCCTTTTACTAAGCTAAGATACTGACCAAACTTGGACAAGTTCTTTTCAGAGGAACAAAAAAAATTATCACTAGGAAATTGGATAGGATAAAGATAGAAACAAATCTACCTTTCATGAAATGAAATCACTTATCATGCTGCAAATTATGACTTCAAACAAAGTGAAAAAATTGTTTAATGTGATAATGTTAACTTCCTATTTCTACAATCTGAAAAAAAAATCATTCTGTGTCAAAACTTGAACAAGTTCCCCCATATAAATTTAGATACAGTGGATATTTTCAGCTTGATGATATTCTCAGAATACAAATTCTTTTATCTCAGTATATAGAGCAATATGACACTTTATTTTAGACAATTTGTACATGTGGATTGTTAAATTTATTACAGATTGAAAGAAATTACTTTTTTAGACAAAGAAAACTCAAAAAAAATATATATATTTATATCAACATCCATATTAACCTCTGACCCACTTTTTGTTAAATTGCAGCAGAATCATGGAAGGGGTAATTACACAAAAATAAGCACTTAGACCACTAAATATATATTTTTGTGTTAACAAATTAGCTTAAAATCTTATTCAGATCTACACATTGTGGAAGTTCATTCCCCTTTTACTGTTTCCCAAAAGTTATAATTTCTTCCTGGTCCTTCAGAGTTTATTAATTTCAATTTCCTAACTTGTTCAAGATCCGTCGTATAAAGATTTTCCCTCACCTCAGCTTCTTACAGTCAGTCTTCATGACTTCCTGCCCCCTGCCCTTAGACGAATGAACTCCCCCTCTTTCTTTCTTTTTTATTTTTCAAATCTACCCCCTTTCATCAACAATATCTAAGTTACAAGCTGACATACCATGAAATATGTGTCTTGAAGAGGAAATGAGTGGAACTGGACAAGTAAATGTTACAACATGTACTTGTGACTGTGAGTATGATTATAATGTGGCAAAGTCAGAATGAATCATGACATTATCAACCGCATTTTTAACACCATCTGCATACATGAACATTACTCATTATAATCACCTTCCTCTCTTGGCTTTCTTAACCACAAGTAAATAATAGAAATAAATGAATTTGCCATTCATAATTACATCTAGCTGGGTAGTTAAACAAATCTGAAATGTCAAAATATTGTTTACTTATTAAGTGAATTTATAAGGAAAATTAATTGAAATGACAAGGGTGAGGGTTATTTATCAGCTCTTTTTCCTGTATCAACTGTTAGTTCATTTCTGTACTAAACTCCAATTTATTCATTATAAAGTGCATTTCTAACATTTGTTTGTCAAGAGCTGTTTCTATTGAGATGAACAAGCTCATATTCTTATTTCAGCTATTTTGTGGTTAGATTAGCAAGTGTGCTGTGCGCTTGTAAAAAAAGACGCCTGGCTGGAATGCTCCCCAGGGAGTGGAGAATGTGCATACATCGTGTGCGGGTAAGCCTGAATTCTATGACCGGGATAATATATATATCTGTAAAGCGCTTTGAGAGGGCCTTCGGTCCTGAAAAGCGAGAACTAGCTATTATTTTATTATTATTATTCCTTGTCACGGCACCACTTGCCAATTTTTTTTTTTCACATATCAAAGTTTTGAAAGTTTGTTGCCTTTATAACAAATTATTGTGAGCAAAATCTGAAGACTGCTGCAAACTACACATTGTTTAAAAATTAAGGTGCCTTTTCCTACAATATTCATGAACATGACAAATAAGCTGTGAAAGTTTAAGACTCTTCTCCTTTTGAATGATGTGACAGAAAATTCTGAGGTAGCATCCTTGATTGCTTAATCTTTTCAATCGAACAGTTTCTGAAAACTAACTGTAAAATGATGTCATTTGGTGTATTTAAAAATACAATTGAGACTTTTTCTAAAAAAAAATTGGACTAAGTAACCATGAATAATGAGAGATGAAAATAAAGGCTTGGTGTGAAGACATTGTCCTTGCGTAGCGATAAGCACCTGCTTTGAAGTGAAAAGTATGAATATGAGTCAGTACATCATTGTCATGTGGCGCTCTGAGAAGAAACATCAATGATAGACATGGACTATCCTTCAATTCTATTACCACAAATCTTCTCTCAATCTAAAAGAAGACATGTCTCAACTTAAGATGAGTGCAAGGGCAGGAGATAGCACATACAAATGTACAGTTGCTTTGGAGGAACTTAACTTGAACCTGGTGTAAAGTCGAGTTCATATTGGGTATTAGTAATTTAACTTCTATATAAATATGAATACAGTATCAATACCGTTTTCTCAATCTCAAACAGAATTTGATAGCAAGGAAGCATTATTCTTCTTTTTTCGGTCATCCAAACAACGATCAAAATCTTCTTTTGAAAGCATCCAGGCACCTTCAAAATAACCTAAACACTGTTACTTCTGAATGACATCACTTATCCATATTGAATACGATTTGTTTACATTTTTTGCAACAAGTAACTTTGTGTCTCTAGCCAGCCCTGTGAGTCTTACTTTTTTTATTGCAAAGTTATCATAGTGCACTGAGCTCTCTACCCAACTTTATTAAAAAGTATGATGAAAATATGAGGCAAGATCATGACTTTACAAATCAATTAAGATAGAATTTCAAACATCTAAAGACTTAACATCAATTCTCCGTCCCCACGTTTCCACTCAGGACAAGATAAAGTCATGAAAACAAGTCCTGTACGAAGGTATCCCAATCCCCTGTGGATGAGGCTAATTGCTAACTAGCGATGACAGCTAGATGAAGCGATTAGCACAATTATCATTCCCCCCTGTGAGCTGTGTTATATCTTAAACAAGGTGATGACCTAGTCACATTGGCAAGACACACTCGAGACTGACAATAGGCTAAACAAAGAATTACATTGCCCCAAATGGACAAAATGTTGTGGGTTATTGGTCGGTTTGGAGTTTAACTGTGGCGGTATGACTGGGGTACAGGTACCATGAATGGACATTGGACAAAACACAAGGATGAAGGGATGAAGAGAAAAAAAATTGTTTCTGTATTCCCAATCACAGCAGGAAGCCCAACATCAGAACAAAAACAAACAGAATGGTTAAGAATTTATCTTTTGCTTTGGACTTTGGAGTCGGTTTGACAGTGTGACTTGAGTACAAATGTCATGAATGGACAACTTATAATATGGATAGCAAGGATAAAGAGTGGGAAATGTGAACTTTTTCACAAGATTACCCCAGTTTCATCAGACCAATACCACTTTAACATCAGGTCAAAAGGCAAAAATTGTATATTTATCTGAGTCTATTTGGTCTCTGAAATTAGTTTGGCAGCTTACTGGGGTATATCATAGTGATATTAATGGACAACATACAAACTACAAGGATAACAAATAAAGAGAGAAGAGTGATAAGTTGTTCAGAAAATACCCCAATCGCCCGGGCAAGAGCAACATCAGTACAACAAAAGACTAAAGGGCTGAGATTTGTTTTATTCATCAGTACCACAAGATTAGCAAGGATAAAGAGGGAAAATGATAAGTTGTTCACAAGTTCATTGCAATTCCTCTGAGTCAGTTGTGGGGTAGAATTGTAAAACTTTGCCTTGTGAGGAAGAAAAGGACTAAAAGATATCAGATCAACAGTTATTTTTGGAAAAGGCATTAGTAGTAAACAACCTTGGTACAATGATTCATTCTGAAGTATAAATGCCTGACGAGGCAACAACAACAATAACTGAATGAATGAAAAAGTTGCTTCTTAGCTTTACTAGCGTGTATGCATTAAACTAGTGGGATACATAATACATTGTTTTCTTATGCTGCAATTCATGTATACACAGGCCATAGTCACCCTAAACGTTCTGATGATATTTTACCTAATTTTTATAATACTAGATCTATAGAATTAATATTCATTTGTCCATTATCGCCTAACTATTAAAAATGCATTTTGTTTGCTTGTAATTGACGTATCACCTAGAAAAAAAAGAAGGAAAAAAAGGAAGAGCAAATATTAAATCATCAGATTACCAAGTTGTCTCACTGATTACCACAATATATGCATAACAAGTCTGTATGCTTTTTTCAAAAGTGAATAACAGTGAAAAAATTCACATTTTTAAAAATATTTACAGATATATCTTTGTGTCAACTACTATCTTTGCATCTCATGGTATGCTCACTACCCCGATATAATTGTATGAGAGAATAGAAATCTTCATATAACAGAACTTTCCCTGTAAGTGACAGCAAACATCCTTCCTGTATTACAGTGTCCCAGATAGGTCTTACCACGCACTTCCCTTGACTAACATTGATATAAACTTCACAGAAGATACTTAATGATGTTTACTAACTTGATAATTTACCTGAATTTCCTGACCAAGATACTACCTCTCCTGCCTTATTTCCACTAGGAATAACACTTTCCTTATTACGCTTCGTGATTTGAAGGGATCTTCCTTAAAGGAAACTTTTTAATAACAAGAATAGGGGAAATTAAATGACAGGTTTTTCCTACAGCTAACTGCATTATAGTTCAATATTTGATGCAAGTTGACAAGATAGGATGTGTTCTATAAGTGAGCATCCAATTAACACCCTATCTCATTATATCTGACAACCACAAAAGATTAATATCTGTACTTAAATGCTACTGATGGATTTGTCCTTTCTGCTTGTTGTATTTGAAGGATTAGTGAAAAGAAAAATATGCTTCTTCAATTCATCTTCTAAATGTTATATGTTACTATTCTTTTGGGTTTATGCTTGTTGAAGTGCTTTCCAGTGTTCATGTTTCTAGTTCAATAAATTTCCTTCTTTTCTTTAACTATTAATTTTATTATTATTTTCTTCATTTGTAACATCTAGTTTACAGGTATCATATGATAGTGTTAATGGAAAATTATACTCCTTCTGTAGAAAATATTTTTCAGTCATTGAACAGAGTAGAGCTTCGTAAGAATTGGTGACCAATTTTAATTCAATAAACTGCGTTTCACTGCTTCTATGAAGTGGTATAGCATTGAGCAGCGGAACCAGCCAAACTTTCCTGATTCCATGATCCACTTTCAAAGCTCATCATTACATTAAAGTCATGTCAATCATCATACAGCAAATGAAATGGAGAAATGGCAGCATTTCTTTTGGCATGATCTGTGTAATCAACCTTATCAATGAATTATATGGCCTGAGGTGTAAATCTAATTAGCATTCAATCTTTGAAGACTTTGGATAAGGGATGGCGCTTTCACATCCGTGGTCATTAGCACATGGAGGAAATGGGCCTTGGCCAATGTGGAGTGATACTTAACGGAAACACTAAAAACTACATCATATCATGTACCAGGGACTGGGCAGCATCAAACCAGGGGCTGGGTGGCATTAAATCCTTGGTTTGGTGGACTGGGATTACTGAATTTCAGCCAAGTAGATTTGAGTGATGAGGACACAGATTTTCCATCTGCTCAATTTGGGTTAAGAACCGAGTTAAGAGTTCACAAGGTTGCTGTGATGTAAAGATGTGTATCTAGACTTAGAAGAGTGATAACATATATCTGTGATGCCTTGCATCGTAATTTGTTATCTGGAGCAAAGATGTGATTTCAAAAGCTTTGATTAAACTTGTTAATCAAACTTGTAATCAATTTACTAAAAAATTGTATATAAGTAATAAATCCAGTTAATTTCAAAAACCCAATGTGTTCCAAGGACTAAAACTAATGTTAAATTTTGATCGTTTCATTTACATATAGTTTTTCTTCTACTGACCTTAATGACTCTGAAACTGAGGTACTTTCTGTTGAGCATGATGATCTTATAGTCGTCTGTTCCTTCATCCAATACATGCCTGCAGATGGAAATATAAAACAAAAAGAAAAAGCTCAACATCAATACATAAATTCAGAAATTTTTATAAGAAAATACATTTATTTAGTCACTTTAAAATTTGTTGCTCATTGAAATGAAAATTACCCAAAATATCTCAATCTTCCCATTCGGACATATCTATGACAACAGGGGGAAATACTGTAAAATGAGTAATCTGAAAGAGAACAAGAAATCCTCTTCCATATACCTTTACTCACAGTTGTGGAGGTCATACCTGTACATCTTTAATAGCAAAATCAGGACATTAACTGTCATTTCGAGTGTCAAGATACTTCCTGACTATGGCTTAACTGTGATCCTTGTTCATTTCCCCCAGCTACAGTTGATTTGAAATAAGGTGAGTGGCCAGAGAAACTTTGTTAGGTTTTCCGTTTCTAATCTCTCGTCTGTCCGTCTCTCTCTCTCTCTCTCTCTCTCTCTCTCTCTCTCCTATATATCATTAGACTCACTATCATACTTAAAGCTGTGTGGAGCTACTTTTGAAAATAAGTATCTTGCTACTTTAATCCCACCAGTATAAATTGGAAAATGTCTTACCGTAATATGATTTTGTAATGCTGACTACCAGAATTTTTTGTTCTTTCTTTTCGTTCAAATTGTAATCAAGTTTGAAATTTTCTTGGTTCTGCAATGTTGGCTGCATGACAATATTTTGTATTTATGTAACACTTATAGCAACAGGAGTGGTGAATATGGGGCCCTACTTCGAGAATGAAACAACATCTACGAATCAACATTCATGAAGCTTTCCTGTAACTCAAGCCCGGCCCCCCCACTCAGTGTTATTTAGGGTACGCATATGCTCGTACCCTCTTTTTGAAAGCACCCCCTATCTGAGAACTGCCAACATTTCCGAACCCCCCTTTCGCGGGCTTTTCGCGGGCTTTTCGCGGGCTTTTCCTGCCTTGGAGACCCCCCTAATTCAGGAAAAATGCTCAATGTACCCCCCTAAATTCGGAATAATTTCTCAGGAGTCCAAAGAGATGAGAGAAAAAAAAGAAAAACACCCCCTTTTTAAAGAAATCTCCGGGTGAAAAGTCAAATACACCCCTTTTTTTACAATTCTCGGGCCGGACTTTGTCGCACGAAAAGTACCCCTTTACCGGACATTTTGGCAACACGCATGCGGTCATTCCGACCTCTGAGTGGGGGGGCCGGGAACTCAAGATCCTCAAGGGTTTCAAAGGTGTAATGCCCCTGGTGAAGACTGTAAGGGCACTTTACTCAAAGAGCAATGAATAGGTACTCTGAAATGCTTCATAAAACCACCAATATCCACATTTTACCCCCCCCCCCCCAAAAAAAGGGCAAAAACTGTGAATATGAGGATAACTTTTAAAAATCTCATCTAGAAATTACTGCAGAACATGAGCCTTATTGCTGGCAGTTTTATTCATTTCAAGTCATTCCTTCACCTCTTAATGTAGAGCTCATCTTGCACTACACTTGAACTCAGATCTTTCACTTCTGTCTTTCCCTCTGTCATATCTCATTAGCTGCATTTACACTGCAACCAAAAATCATTGATTTTTCTAACATTCCAGTGTTTTGCTGTTAGTTGCATAGTTGCAATAGGTGCCGGTAGTTGCGCACTATTCACCAAACAATCGGTATGAGCAAACTTCAACGGTTTTTCAAAATGGTGTTTGGAAAGTGTAAATGGGCCAATGTTTCCTAGTTTTACATTTCTAATTTTAGAACAAAAGCTGGTTGTAAATCAAGTGCCTGCCCATCTGTCATAAACAATTATTTCTCCACTTTGACAATGGATATATTCCCTGCAGCCGTCTTAGATTTGATTGCACTCTCTCCTCCATTTCCCCCATAACCTAGATCCCCCTCACCTGGTTCTTGCTCTAGCTTTAGGGCATCTTATGGAACTGGACTATGACCATGACTAGCAAATTATGTCAAGTACTTGTTGAAATGATCTTTGACTGCTAATCAATAGCATTTCAAATCATCCACAGGAGAACATCACCGGTCCCATCCCCCAACCACACCACATCCATCATGTACTAGTTCATCTATTGTCTTGCCAATTGACATGAAAAATGGGGAAATAAGATGCTTTTATATCTGAAATATATTATGACACAGATTTTCAGCACGTCTGTGTATGATTTCTTTTTCTGCATATCCGGTGGTGACCTGGATTCTGCTTCTACCTGGGGGCAGTGTCGTGTAACTGGACTGTGACGCTGACTGAAATTTGTCTGGGAAAGCGCTGTAAATCACCTTCTTCTTTCTCTCCCTCTCTTGTGCTTGCATTTGCCAATTTACGAGACAAAGAGAAACCTCTGTTTCTTGTAAACTGAACAATAAAAGCATATTTAGGAGGAAAAATGCCACCTAAAATTTTCAAAATTATATTCTTTCTTCCCAAGAGTTTTATTTGTACAGTAATTAATCATGAACAAGTACCATGTATAAAGTTAGACTGTACTGGATAATATGAGTTTGTTTTCTTCATGTCAAGTTTCTCTAATGGACAACTAATCAACTCAAGAAATCAAACAAACATCTGATTTTTCAAATAAACTTTCAATTTCAATAAACTATTCAATTTCATTCTTGGTTTTAATTTGGCTCATATTTTTAAAGATAGATTGCAGATTTGCCTTTCTCAAATATAATCCTAATCCAAAGTGACATTTATTACTACATTCATGTGTTCTGGGATGATGATTAAGAGAGCCCTCTGGTAACATCAAGGAAGTATGCCTATGACCTTGCAGACATCTCTTTGAAAGAAAATCATAGAAAAATGATCTTGTGCACAACTTGTCGCAGCTTCTACTTCCCCTTCCCCTAACAAAGCGCACTTCACACACATGCCCTCAAGGTCCTTTCGTCTACATCTGAACTTCATCATTCCGAGGAGTTTCTGAAGAAAGTTTCTAATCTCAAAATAGATGCATTACTTTTCATGTGTTTGGCAGAATGCCTGTGTCACAGGAGTTATTAACTTTGGTGATCAAGGACAAGAAGGTTTTTTTTCTATTCTTTTGTACGTGTTGGCACATGAATGCTTTCGGTGGTTCATCAATGGCTGAAAAGTGTTACTCCAAGGTTGGGAGTTGCAGAGATCATCAGGGGAGACAACATAGTGCATAGCAACCATAGAGGGAGAACGAAGATGTGAAGAGGGGGATCACTGGTTTGAAAATGATTGCAAGATGGTGTCTTTCAGGACTTCCTCCGTGAAATATGGTTGGTGAAATGATGAAAATCACAGATGTTCCTCTCAGATATGGATTTGTATTTTCAGTAGTGAAAATCATATCTACTAAGTAGCCATACTTACCTATACCATTAATGCTATTCCCTTACTTTACCCGCTATTTACCGGCAAAGGTTTTCTCCTTAGAGAAAAACACAAAAAAGAGTCTGTAAACACAGACTAAGTCTTTTTGTGACGTCATACTCCGTCGGAGTCAGTGCAGGAAACCCCGACCGTCAGTAGTATATAAGGCCCCGCGCCAATAACACTTCCTCTTTCCAAGGCGCCTGTTACGCCATCATCTAACTCAAGGGGAAGGAGGGCGGGTTTGGTATAGGTAAGTATGGCTACTTAGTAGATATGATTTTCACTACTGAAAATACAAATCTACGGCAGACTACGCCATACTTACCTATACCATTAATGCTAGATTACCACATGTTAACTATGGGAGGAAGGGAACACAGATAGATGATGGACCAAAACATAAATAAGTCATCGTGTGAATTCCTTACCCAATTTAAGATCTTGAGCAAGACAGCACTGCCCTTGCAAACTCAGTCTCAGTCTGAAGTACATCGGACAGGTAGCATGCCGTAAAGGTGTTTGAACTTGACCAGTATGCAGCGTTGAGTATGTCCTCCATGGAGGCACCGTTGAAGAGGGCCCATGAGGCAGCAAGGCCCCTTGTGTCATGTGCTCGAATTCTGTCAGAAAAGAGGGCAACCTGGCCCGCTGATTTGATAGCCGACACAATCCAACGAGAGATGGTATCACGAGAGACAGCTTTATGTGGTGGTAGACAACTAACGAAAAGTTGCTCTGATGACCGTAAGTTCTGTGTCCTGTTTATGTACCACTTTAGAGCTCTAACTGGACACCACAGTTTATCTTCAGCGATGGAGGAGAGGGACTGTATGGAAGGAAGAACAATCTCCAGGGGCTGGGATGACTCACGTTGGTTTTTGGCTAAGAAGCGTGCATGTGGGAGGAGCCTTACTTTGTTCTTCTCCCAGCGTATGTGACCTGAGCTGGTGGTAAGTGCATGGACAGAACTGCGACGTTGACCAGAAGCTGTTGTCAGGAGAAAAACTGTCTTGATCGTAAGGTCTTTAAGAGAAGCTTTGTGTAGGGGCTCATATGGGGCCCTACTAAGAGTTTGGAGTACCTTGGGGAGACTCCAGGCAGGAGACAACGTCTTCTTACTGGGTCTAGTAAGAAAAAATGATTTCATTAACCTTGTCAGCATGATAGATGAGGATACAGATTCGCCGTTCGAAAACCCTTTGTGAATAACAGCTATGGCTGACCTATAGCCACGAATAGTGTTAAGTGAAAGACCCTTGTCATAAAGAGAGATAAGGAATTCAGCTAGTTCACCTAAAGATACTTTGGGTGGATCAATCTCTGATTCCCGGCACCATCTGATGTAGTGCAGAAGTCTTGAATCATAGGTGGATCTAGTTGACTCTCGGAGGCACTGTGCTGTAAGATCGGCAGCCCTTTCAGAAAGTCCCGCCGCAAGTGCTGTTGCCCTTTATTTGGCCAGAGTGTTAGTTTCAGTCTCGAAGGGTTCGGGTAGTACTGTGTTGTCCCCGGTTGTCTCAGTATGTCCTTTCTGTCTGGTAGGATTACTGGGTAATCGTTCAGAAGGTTCACCAGAGTTGGAAACCATGGTCGACGGGGCCACCATGGGGCGATTAGGAGGGTGGTGGCATTCTCCTCCCGGACTTTGG